ATTTAATCAATCTAATATAATTAACATTACCTAATGTAGTATTATGACACTATCACCAAACATTTATACAGCTGACTCACCTCGGGATGATGAGTTGGCACAAGAATTTGGAATGGACTCATTAGGTATCGTTCATCTAACATACTGTGCGGTAGGATAAGACACAGGAAACATTGTAGATGCATGCAAATGCTCTTTTATTGAACAGGCAACAAGTGGTAAACTGCCGGCCCAGCACTGACCGAACACAGCAAGACAGCAGGGAAGGTCACTTCTAGCCATAAGTTTTCTCTTTATGGTAGACAACACATAACTACCCACTCCCCCCATAGCACAACCCAGCAAAACACATGCAAGACATAAAAACTTCACCACTATAACAACATTTCTGCCATGCCTCTCAAGCTCCTATGGCGGTGCAGCTTGTGCCGACACCATAATATCTTCTTTTTTTTTTCAGAAAGAAATCTTTACATTGGTTCAGGAAACATAAACCTTATTGTTGCTCTGACTTTTTTAAGGCTTTTTGCTCGATCGTCTTGATGTAAATACTTATTCAAACTTTTATTAAAGGTGCAAAACTATGTAAGAGTTTTTGTCAAAATTAAAAGAAGTAGCATTACTTAGTCCGGAGAAATAAAATATGCTAAAATATGATGTGCATGCACTGCTGCAAGATGCCCTGTAAAGCCTGAAACTATTAAGTCAGAGGTGTTGGGCCAAATGTGGGAGCTTTGTGGGAACACGTCATATATATTAACACGCATAAAGTACTTATATTTAGAACCATTTAATGCTTAAGTAGTTCTAAATAAAACCCATCATTCTAAATATAACCAAAGCCTTTACTAAAGCATCCTTGAAGAACTATCTTTTATAGGTGTGCAGTAATGGTTCTTCAGAACAATGGATAATGTGTTGTATATGACTCTACAAAGAACCTTTTTGAAAAAGGTTCCATATAGCACCATAAACAGTTCCTATAATGTTACAAGCTTGACATTATAACAAAAGCAGAACCTTTTTTGGTGCTATACATTTATTAAAGAACTTTTGAAGAACCATCTTTTTAAGTGTGCGGGTGAAATTTTAATTTCCGCTGTGTATTTACACCTAGTTATGTTTCAGCTCAGCTCAGTCCTTCTGTAAGCAGTAAAACTCTATATGTAAGATTTGCTTTGGAAAATGTATGAGAGAACTTTTTGAAAAAGGTGAAAAAACTAGCTTATAAATTTTGCACAGTTGAATGAATTAAATGGAAATGTTTGCTTGAATTATTTAATGGACATCTGTGACATGAGGGGGGGTGACCCTAATGCTTTTTTATTTCAACATGACCCTAAATGTGCCTAAAAACAATTTGATTACTGTTTTTGGTTGTTGGATGTATACAGACTTGTGTATATAAGTATGGGCACCATTTGCCTCTGTTTTGCTATTTTTGTTGTAAGTGAAAATACACATCTTTTACACTTTAGCACATTTTAATACACAGTTACTGTTTATTTGCTGAATTAGACACATTGCGGCCTGTGCAAAAGTTATGCCACATTTTACATTTACATTTCACAGAAATTGTGCACAAATTTCTGGAACAATCTATATTTCAGTCTGTTCTCTGTATAGGATGTTTTAACATATTGTCACTTAAAAAATCAGCAGAACATGTGATTTGACCAGGGGTGTTCAAACTTTTGCATACAACTGTATTGAAGAAATAGCTTTCACCTTTATTGGATCTTATGTAATATAGTTTGTATTTAAATATAACAATAATATCTTTATTTATCGAGCACTTTTCATACTGGTGGCAGCTCAGAGTGCTTTACAGACAACTGATAGAACTTAACAGTTACAAAAGAAACTATGAGTATAAATTTTAAACTATATAAGACAATGACACAGATCAAACTGAAATGATAAAGACCAAAGAGACGTAGAATTTCAACCTTTTTAACTCTGTGGAACCACCAGTGATTCCGAAACACACCTCGTTGTATTCTTTACTTCATAAATTTCATATTTCATAAGCTACATTCAAAAGGTGGGTGTTTTCTTTACAGTCAAATAGATGGGTAATGTAATTTTAAAACTTTATAATAAAAGAAGCAGATTTTTGGCTTTCAGCAGTGAATTGTAAGCATATAGCAATATGTTTATGTTCATAAAACGCAATTTCTGTTAATTTGAGGGAAGCTTTTACAAAAGAACTTTATGATTTGGGCATGTAAATTCAGATGGAAAAACCAAAATATACCCTGGAGAATTAAGTGCTAAGTTAAAGAATTATATTTTCAAATGTTTAAAAGTGAGCACTGAGCTTGACTGTCTAATAAAAGGTAGAATTGAGTTCCACAGTTCAGAAGCATAATAACTGAAAGAGGCCTCTATCATATTTATATTGTATATAAACTATAAGCATTTTATGCTCAGGTTTGGTCTTACGCATGTTGTCTATGTAGCATGTGTTGTTTAGAATACACTGTTGTATGCATTGCCTGTGCAGTATTTTCTCATGCTTGCTGTCTATATATAGACTATGTGTTTAAGGTGGTAAGCTAATGGGCTGCAGCCCAGCTCATCAAAGGCCTCACTCTCTGCAGCAGTGGTCTCCAGCCCTGGTCCTGGAGAGTCTAGTTCTGACCGCAATCTGCCACACCTGCTCCAGTTAATTAACTTCTCTAGAATTTCCTGATTAAATGGATCAGGTGTATTAGCGGTAGGTAAGGGAGGGGCAGCATGTTTGATGCAGCTTGGAAGTAAACTCTGAAGGAAGGAAGCTCTCCAGGACCAGGGTTGGAGACCACTGCACAACCTGTCCAACTGGTTCCCTCATTAGAATATTTCCTTTATTAGGGACATGAATTCATTAGAAGTCTAATTGTGAAATAAGAGACCCCCAGCTGCAAGCCTGAGGGCATCTCTATCAATTATAGTATGTAGTATAACCTCCATCAAGCTTTAATTGTACAGCACAAAATGCTACAACTGAATGTCACTGCAGTAACTAAAGGAATATTCTGTACCTATTATGAAATGAATATATCAGTAACATAGTTTTGAAAGTGAAGAACTGAAGTGTGTACCACATACAGACCCCTAGGATTTAGGGGTTAAAGAGAATAAAGGGAATGTTGCATTGTAGAGAAATTTGCATGCTCTAATTTCTTTACAGTGGTGCTGATAGGAATCAGGGATCTCAATGTCTACAGCACAAATATACATTTGTATGCAAAAGTTTAAAATAGAGGGGAAAAAAACATGAAATGTGCCATAACTTTTGCACATATTATGTTTTATTATTTTTTGCTGCAGATAAACAGTGATTGTACATTAAATTGTACAGAAGTGTGTTCTCTGTTAAGGATGTGTATTTATTTTCACCTAGAAATAACAAAATAGGGGCTGGGGCACCCAAACCTTCGCAGAACACTAAACTAAACAGTAATTAACCCTTGTGTGGTGTTCATGTTTTTGTTACTCAGTGGGTCTGGTGGATCCATTGCATTATTGGTTTTTTAAATCATAACCATAACAATTTATGTAAAAATACCAGATGTTTAAAATATCACAAGTGGCCAGCGTACGGTTCTCTTTTAGCAGCTGTAGCCAGTCAGCAGCCTGTCCATGTTGTCCACCCTCACACACACACACACACAAATATACAAAAACATTTACACACAGACAGACACACATACTAACAGCAGGCCATTTAGGAGGAGAACAGAGTGGAGGGACACAGCACCTCCACACTTTTGTTCCCCGCAGGTTAACCGAAACATGTGTAATATAAATGTGTAGGGGGTGAACAGTGTGAAGTCACTAAAAATGTTTTATTTTTTTATGTTCTTTACAGAAAATGAGCAAAGGCCAAAGAATCTGAGGTTGAAATAATAAATCGCATCATTTTTTATTTTGGTAAACATTGAAAATGGGTCTCTTAGCCCCCACACCACACAAGGGTTAAACTCTATTTAGGCACATTTAGGGTCATAAGGGTCATCTTGGTAAGTCATGTCCTGCATTGTTGATAATGGTAAAATATTAGCAAATCAGAAAAAATATGTTTCTTTTCCTGGAACTTAAGCAAAAAAGTTCCTGGAAAAAAAAGCTTGGGTACTCTTTTACTGTATAAGGCCCCACATGTACCTTCTGACATTCAGAACCATTCTGTGTATAAACTTTGGTTTTTAGAGGCATTAAATGCTGTGGATGTCAGGTTCCTATCACCACCACTGTAAATAATTTTAACTCTAGAAATTTCTTTTGAACTGGTTATTTTACATCAAATCACTTATGATTTTGACTTTAAAATGCCATATTTGCTGTGCTTTTATACTTATGTATTACATATATTGTCTCTGTCCACATTTATCTTCATTTTAGTTGATTTTAATTTTTCTGTATCATTTGAGCACGGCAGCTGTCCTTTTACATTGTGTGAAACTTTCATGGTGAATGGCCCAAAGAAATGTTCCATCGCTTGGAATAAAATCTCTTTACAGAAGAAAGAATGTTTTTGCTCTCTCTTGTAAAATAATTCTTTTGCAGATACTTATTTTTCTTTGGACAGCAATGATATGTAGTTACATATTTCGCATTTTAAAATGACTGAACAGGCGAACTACACCCCCCCCCACACACACACACACAAACCCCTCCTCTACCACTTGGCTGTCACCATCTTCTGCAGAGTTTCCTGTGTAAAGACACGAAGGCTCCTTCTGCTTGTGTTACTTTCTGTCCTTTCTTTCCTGGTATTCACTGATATACTTACTGTGTCTCTATTTAGTCAACTATTCATTTTTAGATAACCTTTTACTGCCAATTACAATGAAAAGCGAAAAGTGGATGTTCACACAGGATCTGTAGAACATTTATTGTGCTTACTGTCTTTACCCCGCTTACAGTGCTTACTGTGCTTGCTGTGGCTGCTGTACTTGTGAGTAGACCACATGAGCTCTCTGAAACCCAAATGTTCCTGTTTTCTCTGTTCACAGGTGTGAAGTCGTTTGTGCCAGTGTGTGACTCATGTACTTCATGTCATGTGGAGCTTTTACTAAGCATCAGAACCCTGATGGAGACAACAGGTATGCGAAATAATGGGTAAGCCCTTCAGGGTCCCGCACTAATATCTTTCTTGACCAAATTGTCTCCTGACCATATGGGCCTAATCTAATCTGTAAACTGTAATATGATTATTATTATTTGAAGAGATCTAACTTTTATTTTACCTTAACCTTTAACAAGACAATGTTTTATTCACTAAATAGGAAAAAAGATTGTATATAATGATTTCATATAGACTTGAAAACAAAAATGTAAATTGGTAACCCAGTTGTATTTTCTTCTTATTGTTCTTTTTATTGCTCTTCAGCACAGGCCAGTGATGAAAATAAAATAACATTCCAAAGTTTCCAAAGTCAAAAAACTATGTGGTTACCACTAAATGTTATACAAACCCCATTCCCAATAATAAGTTGGGACAGTACATGAACTGGTAATAAAAACAGAAAGCAGTGATTTGTAAATCCTGTTTGATGTGTAATAAATTAAAAACAGTTGAGAAGAACACAATATCTGATGCCTAACCTTATGAACTGTAAATCAATTCCACATTTGATGCCTGCAATAAATTCAAAAAACATTACATACAATTGTGTTACATTATCTTTATTTTTAACAACATAATAAACATTTGGGGACTGAAGACACAACTTGATCCAGTTTTGAAAGTGGATTTTTTTTTTTGCCATTCTTCTGTTATACATGTCTTCAGCTGTGCAAACATGCTGGGTCTTTGTTGTCATATTTTGAACTTAATAAGACACATTTTCAATAGGAGACAGTTTTAGACTGCAGACAAGCCAGTCCAGCACCTACACTCTCTGAATATGCAGCCATGCTGCTGTAACACATGCAGAATGTGGCTTGGTGTTGTCATGTTAAAATGAGCATGGAGGTTCCTGAAAAAGATGTTGTCTAGAGGGCAACATAGTACAGTCTTAACTTGTATGTGTGGATGCATCAAATGGTGAGGAATGATTATGGTTTGTGGTTGTGATATCCATCACAGAAGCATGCTAGTTTTTGCAGTGCAGACTTAGGGGTCGGAGGTCATGTTCATTAATTTGTATTTTTTGACCTTTTTTAAGCACAGAGATGTCTCTGGATTATCTGACTATTTTGACCATATTATGCACTGTACTTAAAATCCATGCAATCCCTGGTTAAGAAACATAATTTTTTAACTGTTGGATTTTTTGCTGATAAATTTTTGAAAAATACATCTTCACTCAAAAAAGAATTAGGCCTTTCTTGTGTTTTCCTTTTATGCCCAAGCATGATTGCCTCACCTGTTTAAGATGTCTTGCGAACATTTCACAATGTTCCTGGTTTAAACTGCTTCTGTCAAAAACTTTGTGGACCGTGTTGCAAGCATTAATTTTGGAATGAGCATATGTCCTAAAAAATGTTCCAAAATATTCTAAAAAGCTTTTTGTTTTTATTTGCATTTTATCAACTGTCCCAACTTTTTTGGAATTGTGTTTGCATTTGTGGTTTGGTTTAAATTAAAAGCTCTAATTATTTCAATTTGTTGCTTTATTTTTTAAGCTATAGACTGTTAACATTGTGTCAACCATCACCATAACATGTGCCAACCAACCCCGTGCACTAATTCCAGTAAATATTTTCTGACTTTGAAAGTGCCTGTTTTTTTAGCTAAGAAGTTCAGCATTTATTGCTAGCTGGGTTCTCCTAATGTATGGCATGTCTAGGATATACAGTTGAAAATGAAAACTGTGCCAACTAACCCTGCTGTTACCTAACTCTCTTTGCAGCTGCTGGTATGTCATCAGCTGTAGAGTCCAACCTCTATCGCCGTCTTCATGCCATCCTCAGAGAATTGGAAACTGACACTCAGGCCGGCTCAGCCTGTAATAAAGGTACCACTAAATTCTCTTTAACACAAAGTTAGTTGGCAATTAAAAACATAGTATAACTAAAATGATACGGCTAATAATAATAATGTGAATAACCTAGAAATGTAACAACAAAAACAACACTTCTTGTTCTCTCAACAGTGGATTGTATTAGAATGTTTGTGTGTCAACATATCCTTTTTTTGTCAAGGAATGCTGAGATGGACTCTGCATAAAAAGGTGGAGAACAGTCCCTCTATTAGTATCTCTATGTTGAGAGTACTTGTTAAGGAGCTTGAAAAGGTAAGACCAAAGCTGATCAGCCCCTTAATCTTTCTTTTGACCATAGAGCTTTTAAATAAAATTAGTAAAACAATGTAAAATTGACAAAAAGTAACAAAAAATTATTAGCTTTTGCCAACTGCTAATTATTTTACAATGTCTAATGTTCTGCATGTATGATTATAATGTTCAGCAGTCAAAATATCACAAGACACTGACTTTGTTAGGATATAAAACCACATAAGTGTTTTGAAAGTGACATTTTGTCAATATTTTAAAATTGCACCAAATGAAAAAAGAATCCTATGATTCTAAGCCAATAATATGTCAGAGGTGGGCAACTCAAGTCCTGTAGAGCCAATGTTGTGCGCAGTTTGGTCATTTTCATGCTCAAATGGGCCTGATTCAACTGACCACTTATTTACCTGGAGTTCTCCGCCTCTGCCTTGTATCATAGTGTAAAACCTTCCATTACATCAAATGTCCATAGTTTGCCTGCTGTAATTATAGATAACCAGAGAGAAACAGATGAAGCAGAAAAAACAATGTATATTTGTACACCTGTATATCTGTTCTCAGAGTGTCTGTGTAGGCTGAACTATTTTTATTTCAGGCAGAGAGAATTGACTGCAAAATTCGTATCATCCCATTGCTGCATACATTGGCCTACACAGTTATTCAGGTCAGTTTCATTCTTAGTCTTAAAAAAAGCTCCTGCCAAAACTACAAAAACTACATACCATTACTTGTTGTATAATCACGTTTTGTTTTTGTCTTTCGTGTTGACTTTCCAGTAACTTGCCAAACTAAGAAAACAGATGTTTGTTTGTTGCCTGATAAACATGCAGCTTATCAGTTTTTGCATTTTTTGGCAGTCTGCACATGTTCCAGACGACCTAAGCGAGAGGATTTATGTCTGCCTGAATCGGCTAGTTACACTACCTGAGCCTTACTGCTCTATAGGCCTCAACTATGCTAAAGTCCTGAAAATGGAGCGCAACATACCAGGTAATCATTTCAGCAATTTCAGCTGAGATGATGGTGTATCAATACATTACCAGATCCTTGATGTGCTGTCACATCCTTCGTATTATTGATGGTTTTTCAATGAGACATTAAATTGAAATAATGTACCTTTTTTCACAGCTATTTGTGCACATAACATTAACAGCAGCCATATCATTGGTACAGCACAGGAGCTGCTAGGCGGCAAGGCCACCCAGATCACAACACTAAACATAGTTTAGAACACTATAGAAAGTGGGAGTGTGTGAAGGCTTCCTTTACTCAAACAAGTGAAAAATAAATAGACTCATATATATATATATATATATATATATATATATATATATATATATATATATATAAGCGTGGCAGGTTGGAAGGGCCAAATGACATCAGAATTTAGAAGTCTGCTGTTTGAAGTACTTGGATAAAATGTAAGTAACTATACAGTCTAACTGGGTACGTAGTATCACTTTAGTCCAAAACAATTACACAGCACTTTAGAGTTTGAACCGCATATTAACCCAGTTAATATCTCAAACCTGTTGGACATTTCAGTGTAATTTAATTTGTCTGTCTTGGAACTTCCCAGTATGCCAAAATAATTAGATTATACTTGGAAGTTTGTTCCTCACACTAATCTCTTTAGTACATAAATCTTAAGGGACTGTGAAAGAAAGCTTAAACAGGTGAGCTTTAGAGAATGTTGGCAAAATCAGTATAATACCTTTATTTTGTATATACTGTTAAAATCTTTTATGTATAATTAATATAATTATGTATAATAATATAATTAAACTAATGTTAGCATAATGGCAAATTGTTGTTGATGTTGTTTACAACAGGCCTAGTTTCAACGTGCCACAAGTAAAATAGTCTAGTGCTTATAGTATAGCTCTTTAAACTAGAAACCCAATGCAATGCACAACTGTAGCAGTCAAATGTATTCATTTATGTATTATACAAAAAATGGAGGATGTATTTCCCAGTTAGCACATCCACATTGTTGTACATGCAGTGGTATAACACCTGCACTGTCTGATTTGTTGCAGGTGCTTTGTATCAAAGGCGAGTCATTGCTGAGCACAGCCTAAAGAATGAACACTATCCCCTTCGTGAAAGGTAACAGCCTAACCAGTCTTAGTTTTTTATTGGGTTTATTCTTCTATACTTTTATCTCATCATTCACCATTTCGTCTTTCATCTGCCTGTAGAAAGCCTGTAGAGTCTGATGCAAAAGTCTAATTACCCATAAATTACGTGTTTTTTTTATTTTTTGTACATTTTTGTGCACAATTTCTATTGAGTTTAACATTTTGAGAAAAAAATATTATTATAATTATAATTATATAATCAAAATGTGCAGCAGTGTGTTCTCAGTACGAAAGTGTTAACTTGTTTTTACTCAGCAGAACAAGGGCACTCAAACACCTGCACACAACTGTATCTTATTTATTTTTATTACTGAGGTTTTTGTCATCAGAACAAGGTAAACAGAATAACAAGTAAATTAACAATATAAACTGATTCCTGCACTGTACCGGTTAGGTGACTAATGCAAGTGTTTTTGTACATGGAAGTAGGAAATGTGGGCAGTAATAAAACTAAATTGAGTGAAGTTCATAAAAAGAAGTGAGATAGGTGAGAATTGAAATGTCATTTTACTTGTATGCGTCAGTGATAAGATCAGAGTGACTCAGTTTGTGTCCTCATTCTACACCCAGTGCATTTTCTCCTGCAGTTGTGGCATGCATGCAAGCAAGCAGCTCAAGGTTTCAGTGCTATTGATCGAAGGAAGATAGCATAACATGCTTAGACATGAATAAATCACTGTCTTCAGCATCTCTGCACATACATTTGGCATTAATATTAATAGACCAGTGAACCTACATATGCTGTCTGAGCTTTGTAGGTAATGCTGATGATGGTAAAATAGTGATAAATCTGAAAAAAGAAGTTTTCTTTGGGGACTATATTGCCTTACAACATCCTTCATGTACATCTCTACTATGAATGTATTTTTACATATTTTTGGAATAATTGAATTATTATGCCTATGTTTAAATATAATCCATGTTGAAATGAAATTCCATTTTCAACCATGTTGTCATTTCTTTAATCCTTCTTTGGTTCATTAAAAGCTTTAATAGATCTTCTCAGCCTATCTACATCCATCAGCAGAGTTTGGTAGAGTATTCTAGACCTACACACAAGTACTTTGGTGAAATAATGTTGAAATAACAGTGTCCAATACTGAGCATAATTTTAACATTTAGTATTCAACCATTGCCTTTATTACAGCATTCATTTTATTTTTTTGCCTGCTTTCAGTTTTACAAAGAAATCTGCAGGAATGTTTTTCCAAAGTTCAGTCAGAAGTTGGTTGCACTTTCTGCTTCTCACAATTCAAGTAATCACAATTACAAATTTGGACTCATTCCATCAAGATTTTGGTGTTCTGGTGTAAGTTTTCTCCAATCTTTGTATATTTTGCTTAGTAGTGGCTTCTTGACAGTAATACATCCTTTCAGACTCAAAGTGCTGGGTTGTCTTTTCAGAGTGGAAGGATGGACAGAAACACCTGTGGATTTTTTCAGATCTTAAGCAAAAGTGGAGCTTGATTTTCTCCTCTCTCTCAAAGATGAAAGCTTTAAGTACTGTTTATCTGATGGTGACAATTCGGTGGCCTAATTTTTTTGAAGTTTGGAAACTCCTGTATTTTCGTGGCCATGCAAGTAGATCATCGTCTATTTAATCTTCTCAGAAATATCTGCCCAAAAATCAATAACTTGTAGCCATTTTGACTGGAAATGAAATAAATGAAGGGTGGTCTCTGACTTCTGCACAGTACTGTAGAATCTTGGTAAAATGTCTTAGTCCATCCAGCATCGGCATTTGAAGTGAAGTTTGTTGGGTGCTATTTATAGTCTAAATTGACATCATAAACCGCAAATGTCACTGATGCGACCAATCATACAGCAGTAAAGACAAAACCTTAGTGACTAAATGTTAATGTGATTAACATAGATCACTAAATGTCAGATTCAGTATTTATTACTCCTACCTTGCTAAACTAAGACTTGATGTCATTCAGAGATGTTAGCTAGCAAAGTTTGCCATCTCAGCAGAATCAATTGAACCATGCAAAGTCTAAACAAGCAATGATGCTGTTTATGACAGTAGAAGTAAAAGTACTGTGATTTGAAAATACTCAGAAAAGTGCAAATCCATTTGAAATGCATATAATTGAGTAAATGTAACTAGCTACGTCTCACCTGTCTATAATTTAACCTTCCCTTCCTGCCTTGTACAGGGTGTTTGTGTTTGTGGACCAGGCCGTGTTTCCTCAGACTCTGCTGGATGCTGTTAGGGCCGATGTGAAGTATGGAGCTACAGAATGGGACACACTGAGCCACCAGCGCAGAGTCCTACTGCACACACTGCAGTCTGGACTGGGGAAGCAGTGCCATGGACGACAACTAGCAGAGGCCCTAGAGGTCTGTATAGGTTTTAAAACAAGGCTGTGGGGCTCCTGAATGGCGCAGCACTCTAAGCATTGGCCCTACCATCACATTTCAAGTTTGATGCCTGGGGTAGCCATCCTTGGCTATGGGTTCATTGGCTGCATGATGCTAGCCAGTGTAGTTGCCTGTTAGCTGATGTAATACAATTGTAAGTGCACTCAGCTGTCCAATGACATTGCATTCATAAAGATACAGTGGCTGGCTTCATATGATCCATTTAATCAAATTGGGTCGAAGTATTTGATAGAACATGGATGTATTACAAGAGTCAAGTTGAAGTGATGTATTGTCTGTGGTAATACAATTTTTACTTTTAAACCTTAACCTTAGTCAGCCTTAGCCAAGACGTGTTTGATGTCCACAATATGCTAACGTAGCTAGCAAGTGGTGGAAGCTTATAGTTCACCATTTGGCATTGTGCAAACTACATGCCTAAATCACCCTGCATTGACTTGTTACGTAATCTGCTTATGTGGTGACACTATATGATTGTTATGTATATAAATAGACAAAAATAATGTATGTCATATAGCTAAAAACAGTAGTCGCAGACAGAATGTTTTGTAGATAACAATATGACATACAGTGCCACTAGTTTCAGTGGTCTGTTCTAACAAAGGTAATGAATCATTAGGCATGGTGGCAAGAGGATATGATTAGTGTCCAAATTGATAGAGTTTATGAATTGGGTGGGTGAGACACCCAAGCAGAACACAGGTACCAAATCAGATAACAAAAGAAAATGAAAGGAGTAGAGAAAAATAATAAAATAGAAACTGGAAACTGAGGAAAAACTAACAAAACAAATGTAGAAACTTACACTAAAAATGCAATGGCAGGAGGACTAGAAAGAGGGCGTAAATCCAGGGAAACAAAGGACACAGGATAATGATCCATACATGCTAGTCAGACAAACACAATGCACAACAAAGGAAAGGCAAACAAAGAGGTAATATATACACAGACAAGGAACTAGGAACAGCTGAGATTTGTGTTAACAGGAGTAGTTATAGACAAGACATAGGTGAGTGATATGAAAAGGGGCGGGGCTAGGTTGGATTAAGAAAACCCAAACAAACGAAAGCACATGGCTAGAAAACAGGACCAGAAAATCTAGCAGTGCAGATGCAGACAGAGGTGGAACTGGAACTGGACATCGTTGCAACAAGACTATTTGAGATTTCTTGATAGCTCAGTGCAGTTTGAGGCAAATAGGAGATACTGGCGGAGTGTGAGCTTCCATTACTGATCAGCTTAGCTTTGTTGAATTAAAGATCTAAAGAGCTAAAGGTACAAACTTCAAACACCAATTGTGTTTTGTCTTATTGAGTATATTTATGGTAAGTGAAAAACTGTGTCCACTAGATTTTTTACTATTGCTTCAATTGTCTATATCCAGTTTGCAGATGAGTATATTAGCAAATATTTCACAAGATGTTTATTTCTTCTTGTTGCAGGAATTATGTGACGTAGAAAAATACTTCCTGGATGTTGTGGCCACTGTGGAGGAGAGAATAGAGGATGGAGGTTCAGACCGTGACCAGTACAGTACAAGATTACAGCAGCTCTACCATGACATCCTCTCCTCTACAGGCAAAAGTAGGTAGACATGACTTAATTCCATTGTGCAGATTTTTCAGCACGACACTGGCTGTGTTTCTACATACAGTATGTTATCACGTGTTCTCTCTGTTCAGATCCATCAAGTCCTACTAGTCCAGTTGGAAGTGCACTGCCCAGTCCTGAGATCAGCTTCCATGTCTGGACAAAGGAAGATGAGATATGTGAGAATTTTTACCATGTCAAACATACAATTTTCTTCTTTTAAGACTGTTTTGAACGTGAAAAGCATAACATACATAAACTTTGTAAATATTTGTTTTGTTTGGCTTAAACTTTAGATTTTAGTAGAGAATTGTGGTCCATTGCCTGTTTTATTTTCATTATCACAGAATAAAGTAAAGAAGAGTGGTTTGCTACACAGGGGTGATGTCACACCTCCTAAAGCAGTGGGGCAAAACATATTGTTTCTAACTGACTAATTTGACTAACTAAAACTAACTTTCAGCACAACATATGGCTTATGCCATGATTATAATATAATAACATCACTATAAACCTGCTAATAAACAGCATTAGTGCTTGTTTAGACCCTGCACTTTGTTCAGCTGACATGGCAAACATCTCTGAAATATTAATTCTGACATTTAGTAAATTTCAGGTAGTGTGGTAGCATAAACTGGGCATTAGTTCATGTATTGCAGTACAAGCATTTTTACTGGATTAGTAAGTTGCAGCAGTCCTCTCATTGGGCCTTATTCACCAACTGATCTTAAAAAGAAATTTTGTCTTATAACCCTCTTACGCAGTTTTCACGAAGATTCTGACATTCACCAACGTTGTCTCATTTGGGGTTTGTTTTTAAGTAAGAACAGAATCTACACACATTCAAGAGCACAAAGGTGTGAACAATTCTGTGGTTTAAGAACATCATGAATCTGACATAGACTTTTCTTAGAACCTTTCTCAAGAACAAACTTAATAAAGAACTTAGTAAATGATGTTATAAATCTGACGGGCTTTTCTCAAGAGCAAATTTAATAAAGATGTATGAGGATATCAGTGAATGAGGCCCTCTGAACATGAAGTCATGAAAGCTTTTAGTGTTTGGGAATTGTCCCAACTCGAAGATGAAAAGGAAATTTGGATTGGTTCCTTCACTGAGTTTGACTCTTCATCTGTTAATGCATATAGGTCAACAATTTTATTCACTTTTGAAAAGGAAATTTCTCTAGATCTCAATGGGCCTTATTCATCAATATCATTCTAAGTTTTTACTTAAATTTGTTCTTGAGAAAGGTCCTAAGAAAAAGGTCTACATCATATTCATGATGTTCTTAAACCACATTATTGTTAGCATCTTTGTGCTCTTGAATGTGTGTAGATTCTGTTCTTACTTAAAAACAAATCCCAAATAAGAAAACATTGGTGAATGTCAGAATCTTTGTGTAAACTGCGTAGGGGGGTTTAAAAAGGAGTTTCTTCTTAAGAACGGTAAGTGAATGAGGCCCAATGTTTTCTGGGGAAGTTCTGCTCCTGAAGTTCAAACTAACATTGACTTGATCCCTCGCTCCTCCAAAGGGTCATTGAAGAAACTTCCCTTAAGCTAATACATTAACACCCTAAATGGCCAGGACCCACTGGCAAGGTCCAAAGTTCAACCACACACTTCTATAACCTAAGAGTAACCAAGCTAGTTTGCACTGTAGTCCACGTCGTTACTGAACAATAAGTGTTAGTATATAATAAGCCTGGGATTTTAGGTAATACTTTATTTGAAGGCTACCTACATAGGGACTTCATAACACAGCAAGCACTGAATAACATATTTATTTGTGCTAGAAACCGCAAGATGACATAACATGTTCTAGGAAGTAAATGACATTGCTTTGACATAAGAGACTTTAAACTAATGGGATGGACATTTGTTCTATTTATAACACTATTATGAAGCATCAATTTCATAGTTTTACATGAGTTAAAGTACAAAAACCTTTTGTCAATACAACATCATTTACTTCAGCTTATGGGATCTTGTGATTAAAAGCATAAGCTGTTCATAAAGACTCAAATATTGCCTTATAAATATGTTATTCAGTGCTCATGCATGTGTTATGATGTCTTTATGTAAGTAGCCTTCAAATAAAGTGTTACTGGATTTTAAGAGTTTAACAGAACTGCTTTAAGATGGGGTTGGTAATTCTCCCAAGAGGAAATAGTGAGGGCAAGTAAACAAGGGCTATTAAAGTTGTTAAAGCAGTTTAAAATGAAAGGTACCAAATGGAGTTCTTCTATTCCAGTCCTGGAGGGCCGATGTCCAGCATAGTTTGGTGATTTCTCTACTCAAACCTCTTGGTTCTACTCAATTGTTAATCGCCAGTAGGTGTATATGAGCGAGGAAATCAGCAAACTGTGCTGGACACTGGAAGCGAAGAGTCCTGGTATAATCTGTTAATGCTTGATTTGTTGGTATAATCTCAATTAACCTTTGACTTTCTCAAACAGGGAACGAGTTGGTTAACTTCGCTCTGATGGTAAGCCCTGCAGAGCGAAGCTCTACATACCTAGATGAGGACGAGGATACCAAACGTGCTTCTGTCATCTCGACTGTGTCCATAGACAGTGGTATTGAGGGGGACCTGCCTTTGAATGAGTTTGCCTCCATGATAGTAGAGCCCTCGGGTGAGCAGGAGGTCCAGGAACAGCAGAGAAGCTCACAGTTTTTCAGGAGGGCATGTGTAAGGTGGCCAAAAGCTGGGAACAGGATGACCCTAATGATGGAGGCCATTAAGGAAAGTGGAATGACGGCAGGAGGTGGAAGTGGAGGCTCACTCCCAAAAGAGGAGAAAAACTTCACTGCTCGTCTTGTTGTCATGGGTGATGATAGCACTCTGGGCAGGCTGGGCAAGGCCTATCACAATATACGGTATGAAGGCTTTACATTATCTTTATTATCTGGATGCTTTTAAATATCTACATTATTTCTTTAAGGACAAACCAAAACATGTACAGGAATGATTTTCTCCAATGTTCAATATAAACAGACTTTTTGTTCAGTATGAATAGACTTAGAGATTTGTCCTTCTTTTTGATAATGTGTGCAGAAAGAGGGAGGCACGGCATCTTTTTCTGACAAAGAGAGTCAACTTGGAAATATACTACATTCCAGTCTCTAACCAGCCTCTTTCAACTTCTCCAGCACAGGTGATTGTTCACTGATCTATTAGTTAAAAAAAGTTAACAATTTATTCAAAGGCTACATACATAGAGACATTATAACACATGCATTACCTTTGAATAACATATTTATGAAGCATTACTGTTTTGATACTATTCACTATAACATTATTATATTCATTATGTAGGCTACCTACATATAGGCTTCATAACACAGGCAAAAACATTTAATAAGGTATTAAAACAATATTTGAATACTTATAAACAGCTTATGCCAGTTGTATTGACATAAGCGGCCTTAAACTGACATTATGTCAATTTATAAAACTGTTAAGAAGCATCTTTCCCAAATAATGGAAGACAGAGGCCTAGTTAAGAGCACCATATGTCAGTTCTATGGAAGCTGCACTTGAACTTAAGTGCTTATACTTATACATATTTTCCCCTATATGAATATACATATACATACAAAAATCTTGAGTAAAAGTAGAAATACCCTTGGTAAAAATACTACTTGAGGAATAAATAGTCTATATTTCTACTTGTGTTCAAATGTACCTTTTCAATGTACATGCATGTCAAAAGTACTGTCATTACAGTTATGTTAGGTCACTTATGTCAATACAATGTCATAAGCTTGTCATAAATGTTTTATCATAAATAAGCCATTTCTTTATAGACACATTATTAAGTGCTTATGCATGTGTTATAAAGTTTCCATGACCTTCTGAAAGACTAAATGGCAAATATAAAAATTCAGGTAAAGTGTTTCTCAAAAAATCCTCTGCATTTCAGGAGAACGTACCAGGCCTTGTAGATATGCTTACACTAGCAGCATCTTTGGGAAAGGTAGATCCATGGTACGAATGCAACATCAGCAGTCTAGGAGGCATGATCCTAAAACTAGCTGAAATGGTAATTGTCTTTTTTTGAAACTCTTTTCATCTTTTTCCCTTGTTTATTTAGCCCCAAAGCCAAGTGGATGGACATTATTGGGATGTATTCAATCAGGATTGTTATGTTAGAACAAACCACATATTTGTTGTACATATTTGACAATGTAAAGTAACACCATATGACAGTAGAATGCTCTGTAGTGTGGTCACTCACTCTGGAAACGCTTTATGTATGTGGTCTCTGGATTGCAGCATTCCAGTGTTGGTGGATCCTCTGAGCAGAACACCTTTCTTCAGGATATCATTTCATACTACACCCGCACAGCACAGCAACCCATCCACATCCCTATCTACTCTGTCAAGGTCAGACTGCAATGTTTTTTTTTCTGTGTCATTCTTATTTTATAAGGTGCATTTTTACAGGGTGGTTTGCCTTGGAGAAGGTAGAGAAAGGTCTGTGCATTTAAAGTGTGTGCTCTATTTGCTCAATGGAATTCTTGCTGTGTTTAAGTCATAGTAACAGGTACAAAGCTAAATGGAAAGGAGCACCAACATTACAGTTCAAAACCATAGTAGAGACTGGGGAAAACAGGTCATTCACAAGCATAGAACTGCAGATCAAACCAAGTAGGATGTCATTGTACCACCTACATTAAATCACCCAAAGATACTCTGCAGAGCAAGGGTGTCCAAACCTTTTTTTAGGGAGGGCCAGGTTATAGTGTGTCAAAATACCTGAAGTACCAAAATACTATTCAGAAAAAAATGTAAAATATTTGTGCATGGAATCGAATCTTTCTGTGTGCTACCGTGTTTCATATCACTGTCTAAAAGATGCACAAGGCCTTTTTTGTGATTGAATTGCTCAGAGCTATTTGACTCTGTAAGTGCTTATAACAGATAATTCAATTGTTTAAGAGAAACAATAAAAACCTGTTTCTATGTGTATAAGTATATTTCTATTCAAGTGTGTACTTGAAATATAACTTGTGAGAGAAACTAAACAAAAAATCTATAAATTTGGGGTAGTGAACACTCACCAAAATAAATTTAACTTAATAAACATAACCAAACTAAATTTAACTCTGTTACACATTTTCATTCTATCATGTGTCAAAGTAAAGTCAACATATTTTCTCTTTGCAAGTCAAACAACAATTTGTTTTATTTTCATTTGACTAAAACACTTTTGATTTCTACATAACTGAGCTCTAGAAAAGCTGCTCAGTTTGGCTATTTTTCAAGCCAGTGCTTGTGTTGCAGGAGGAATAATTCTCTCACTGTCCATTAACGACCCAGTGCCACATTTAAATACAAAGCTGTATGTAAATAAACAGTCCACCTCTCTTCCTGTATCTAGATGTCCTTCCCTGGCTTGGATCCTAAAACAGTGGAGGATGTGTTTTTATGTCAGCTGGACATTGACTTCCCTGAGTTCAGGCCTTTCAGACCAACATTAAAAGACACAATCAAAGGTAGGCATGATCAAAGGTTGGTGCTAATTGTTGAAGGTGGCTTGCCTTATTTTCCTAAACACCGGTGATTAACTGCTCATGTTCATTTTTAAAGGATCAGTGCGCTACAAGAAACACATACAAGAAGAAGGGGGAGCAGTCGTGTCTGTCATTTACAGAAGGGTGACTATCATCTTCTACACTATCTTGTAGACACAACATAACCCTTGAGAGTGCACTCTTAACAAATGGTGCCACAAAGAGTTCTTTGAATGATACCATAGAGGACCTTCCCTAAAGAACCTTGTTAACCTTGTTAGATAAGAGATCTGTGAGTATGAATAGCCTTTTAAAAGCTTAAAGAACCTCCACATAATATAAAAGTACTTCAGAAATGTAAAGGTTCTTTCTAGAACAGTTACATCAGTGGAGGTTATTTAAAAAGGTTCTTCACACACAGACATGTCATTTATAGAAATGGTTCCCAGCAGCAGCGGTTCTCAAACCAATCTTCATGGATCACCAGAAAGTCCAGATTTTTGCTCTGCCTTAAATGTTGCAAGTTAGGTTGCCAAAAAAATCTGGGGGTTCTTGAGAGCCATTTTGAGAATCACTGCTCTAAAGAACCATCCATTTAAAGGTTATGTAGGGAACCAAAATGGTTCTTCTACAGCATTGTGAAAAAGAACCCTTTCTGGCATCTTTGTTGTTAAGAGTGTAGATGACTGTTCATTGGTCATAACGTTTGTGGTAACACTTTACTTGAAGGGTGTCTACATAACACATTCATAACATCTTACATAAACGCTCCATAACATGTTCATGAACATTTAAATCAACATTTATAAAGCATGCATATTTTACTTGATATTAATTTGGACTACTATGTCATTTTACTGAGAGACATTTTTCAAAGTAAAAGTTCTCATTATTTATTTTGAAAAAGTATATTATTTTTTAGTAAAACGCATCATTTCTGGACAGCCAAATTAAAAATGACCTCACTTTATTTCTGGGGTCATTAAGTGCTTTGACACTTAGACACACCATCATAGTAAGATTCAGTCGAATGATTGTTCCTAAGCATATTTAAGAGTAATTTACTGCCCATGTAGTAAAGTAACATAGAAAGCAACAAATGCTTAAGAACAAACAGATAATTAAAAAAGAAATCAAAAGAATAGGTGAAACGGGCCTGAGTGTCAAAGCACTTAATGACCAAAGGGATAAAGCAAGGTCATTTTTTATTTTAGCTGTCCAGAAATGAAGCACTTTACTGAAAATAAGATTCTTTTTCAAAATAAAATGTAATGACACAGTAGCCCATATTAATGTCATGTAAAAACTATATACTTTATCATGTAACATGTTAAGAAGTGTTTATGTAAGATGTTATGAATGTATTATGTAGATACCTTTCAAATAAAGTGTTTTATAGTGCTTTATAGTCGGCCTCTACTGATATATCATTTGGTCGTTAGTATTGATCGATATTAATAACCCATAGTATTGTCAGTATCGGTCAATAATATTGCGAATAATTAACATTCATTTTGATTGCATTGTTGCTGTGATTTAAACCCTGAATGATGGAGCAAAACAGTTTAAACAGATGTGCCACTGGACTACTCAACACAAAGCACTCTCTGTTATGATAGCAATACAGGCTGAGCTACAATATCTGAAAACAAAACATCATATTGATTAGTGTTAAAACAAACAAAATGCATCAAAAAACATCATTAAACATTTTAAAATGATATACACATAGTTTGTCATCAAAGGCAATGACTTCCATTAAAACAAGCAGCATTTTTCTTTTTTTGCAATGATTTTTAGAGTGTTAGATCACTGTTAGATTTTAGCACTTTATTATAGGCTATTTAATCTTTTTTTATTAAAATTTCTAAACGTGTTATTCTCTCTTCACTCTGTACAGTCTGTATACAGAAACTAATTTGCAAAAACAGTGTGTTTTGAATTTTTCTGATGTCCTGAAACCCAACACATTTGCAAATTCAGGCTACAGCAGTTTAGCTCAGCCCATTCACTGAAGCTATAAGGAGTGTTTTAGCCCAGACTGCTTTCTGAATGAGACACAGTAGGGGTCCTTTCTTACAGCAGCACTAATGAAGGGAGGGCTAATTGTGAAGGTCTGTGTTGGTGTGGAAAGTCACCTACATGCTGTTTTTTTACAGGCGTCCATCAGCAATCGGGAGGTGGACAGAGGAATGTCTCTGACAACGTGTGGAGTGTCGATCTGCCATGCTCCATCATGCGGAAATAAAAGTATGCTGTTAACAGAATTCATCACAACACCACAAGCAAGGTTTCATCTGTGTTTGATTTCATTGGACTTTCATATTTTTCATATATAAGGACGACACTTTTTTCCCACAGATCTCGACAGCCTGAATGTGGATTTCCGTGATCCAAATCCTGCAAGATCCTGCATGGTAAGAATGAATCATCTATTATATGCGTTGTTGAAGACAGGACAATTAAAATGCTTAAATAACATCAAACAATTATGAGAATTATTAGAGATTCATTCATTACCAGATTATTTCAGTATTGCATCCACAATAATGTACTGTCCTATAGTCTACACTCAGAGTCACCAGAATTTCCATCAGAACTCTGGAGGAGAAGACATTCACAGTATGTTTGGACAAGGACTCCGACAGAACCTTCAAAAATGTCCAGAGGTAAATAAACACAGATGTACAGTTGAAGCATGGGTAAATATTTAAAGGGTCTGTATTCTGCTTTTTTCTGGTCCTTTTTTTGAGTTTATGTACCAAAGAGAGTCTTACTTCATTTTAACATGACCATGTTCCACACTCTCTTTATCCCTTAGAATAAAACAGGCTCTGATTGGATGCCTTATTCAAAAAGCAGTCTGGGCTGAAACACTCTTTATAACCTCGGGGTGAATGGGTGGAGCTAAATGACTGTAAACTGAATAATAATAATCACAATAACAGTAAATGCAAAAGAGGCCATTTTTGCAGTTTAGCTTCTATACATAGAGTATATAAAGTGGGGAGTAAATTTTGAAATTTTAACAAAATTTATATTAGTGACTTACCAAAAATTTGGCCACCAAAATATTTAGGTGGAAGAAAGAAAATAGGCAAAAGGATAAAAGGCAAAACAGTTTTCTCCCAAAAGTTAAATAGGACTACAACAAAGTATTAAAATCTAACAGCAATATAATACTCTGAAAATCACTGTAATGAAAAAATAAAAATTAGAAACAACATGATGTTTGTCAGAATGGAATTGCCTTGGATGACTAAATATGGTGGATTTTGTACATAATTTAAAAAAAATTATGTTAAAAGATGTTAAAAGATTAAATGTATATGTAATAGTTTTAGTAATAGTTTTAGATTGTTTGCTGTATGTTTGGTTCATTAAAAGCCATACATTAAATTAATAAATTAACAGCCAATTGAATTAAAACTTTTTTTTTTTTAGTTCTCAGCCCAAATTTTTTTTTTAGTTTCGGTCCAAAAAATTGATTTATATACTCTACTAAGCTTGGTTTCCTATTACACTTTACTGTATTTTTTTCTTAAGGTTTCTTATTAATGATAATGGAAACTCTTCCTTGCTAAAAGGAAATCCAAGCTGCTATAATAAAAAAATGATTACTGCTTCTGCATCTGCCCTGTAGCATAGAGGTGATTCCAAGCACGGATCCAGGATTTTGCCTTCAGAAGATCAAGTCCAGGCAAACTGTGGAGGAGGATGACTCAGGGCTGAGCAGATATCTGAGCAAGACTTTCTCTTTGCCCATCAACACCTTCTCTGGAGCGCTATTGTGATAATAGCAGACACTCCTGCCTCTGACATGAACTCTGCAGCCAAAGAGACACGCTGGCTGAATCATATACCTCTGCAGTGTGAATATGTGCACAATGCATACAAGTGGTGTCTTGCCCAGTATAGACATTATGTGTGTATTGGACACAGTCTTTTGGACCATTTATTAATTACCAAAAACAGCGCTACAGGTGCTCCAGAACAACCCTGTGGTTTACTAACACTGACTGTAATAACTGTACAGTCCATGTTGTGTGTTTAAAAGCTTATGATTTCATAGGGCTTACGTTGTTGTTCGTTGGCTGTTTGCAGTGGTTCCTGAGACCTTAAATAAGCCCAAAAGGTGTTTTTGTCCAGCAGATGGCGCTGTAACTCAAAGTTAAGCAGCGTCTGTATTTGTTAAAGGGCAATTCCACAGATTTTTCAAAATGTCTGTGTAATTCAATTGTTGAGATGTGAAATAGTTCATTATAGAGAAACTGACTCTGATTTCTTTATAATGGTGGTGAAAGGAACCCGAGGTCACAAATACAAGATGTTTTAGGCCAAAATCTCATCTCAAAACTCCTCACAAACCAGTGTCTCAGCCATCAAAAAACATATTGCCATCATTTTATGTAACACCTTTCTGTGAGGCAGCTTTCAGAGACATTAAAAAAGCAATATGTAAGATGACACGACCTGTCAAATTCATACTCCACACTTCAAACAAGTAGGGGGCAACATATTACTAGAACATTGTGGCGTCCACCCCTATTGTAAGAAAGAAAGGAAATGTCCCTCCTTCTCCTTCTTCACTCCCCACCCCGTTTACTTACCAGTCTAGACGAAATGTTGCGAGTTCAGCATCAAACTTCATTCCTTTACACACCAAGAGCTCTCCAATGGTGGAAACGAAGCCAGTGTTAACTTGTGTGTGTGTGGGTGGGGGTAGAGAAGGGTCGGAATATGGCATCAGGGCAGTGCTACTTCTTTATCCTCTCATGTTAGACTGTTGGCAGACTTGATGCTACGGTAGATATCTCTGCAACACAATACATAGACATCTTTGACATTACATCAAGACTGTTATTTCTTCACATTCTGTTGATCATTTTAGTTTATTTTGGAATGTTTTGAACTAAAAATCTTACCAGTTGCACCTTTAGACACTTCAGATGTCTGGTTCCTACCACCGCCACTGTGAGTAGTTCTGACTCTGTAACCACTCTGAACGACTTTGTTTACATCTTAATAATTGAGTTAGGCAGAAATTCTGAAAAAAGCTGGGCTTTCTCCATCATATAGCCTTTCTAAGAATGGGGCAAGAGGCTATCTACTTGCAATTAAAGAAAATACCCCTGCTGACACTGATGCTTTATAAGTAGGGGTATGTATCTTAGACAAAATGGACAAAAACACGTCCCTGCTGGGCAGGTTTACAGATTAGTAGCAATGTATAACATTACTAAAAACATAGTTAAGTGCTTAAAATGAATATTTTTTACTCTGTATTGCATTTTACACTACTCCCTTTCTTAGCTTTATGTCCAAATAAATGTCCAAATTAATGTCAACACACAGCAGTCTTTGCATACAGACTCAGTAAAAGTTTTTTATACAGCACTTAAAACTCTTTTTAATTTTTTTCAGTAAAATATTCCCCCCAAAATATGAACTGCTAGTTGCATGTACTCAAGTACATTTCTGATGGATTTGCACTGTCCTGAATATTTTTAAGATATGTAATTTTACTTTTGCTTACTCCCTTACAGAAAAAGTCACATATTATTCACATGAAGTGTGCAATAACCACATGTTCACAAGTACTCACATGATTTTTTCACATAGGATGTCAAATATTTTTAACATGTGAATAGTACAAAAACTACAGGTGTTTATTTACATGTGAAATATGTGTAACTTTTCTGTAAGGGTAAGAATATTTGGAGAGATATCTGCTGTTTTCATTAAGTTACCTGACAGGATCTTTACTGCTTTGCTGTCTGTCACACCTCTGATTTTAATGTTTAAGGATCCCAAAAAAACAAGAATAATGAACTGCAGTTTCTATACTGATAGATGCTGGATATACTAAGACGTTCTACTGCAGCTCTGTAAGTTATTCATGTTGAAGTAGATTTTTGACCCAGAACTTTTGATGGATTTATACTTTCCTGAGTATTTTCTATTTATAATACTTTTACTTCCACTTAAGCATACATATATACTTTTACACAGTTGCATTTTAGTCATTAACATTTAGTTAGCAAATCATTTTTTGTGTTCAGTATTATAATAATACATTGTTGACAGCATCCATCACACCTCTGACTTTTGAGGTCATTTTTAAAGATCCCAAAAAGACAAAAATAACAAAACTCCAGTTCTTATGCTGATAGATGCTGGATATACTTAAATGTTCCACTAGTTCTGTAAGTTCTATTCTGTTCTGTACTCAAGTATATTTGCATGGAAAGCAATTCCTATTTCCTTTTTTGTTTTATTGCATTTACTGTCATTATAATAATGTGTTGGTGACAGCACCTGTACTGCTTTGCTGTTGGTCACAGCTCTGACTTTTCAAGTCACTTCAAATGATCCCAAAAAGAGAAATAGAGCCCAATATACTTCAGTTCTTATGCTGATAGATTCTGGATTTACTAAGAGGTTCTGCTACAGTTCTATAAGTTACTCAGTATTTAAGTAGTTTTTGACCCAGTACTTTTGATGGGTTTGTCCTAGTATTTTCTAATTAGCACTTTGTGCAGCACTTTGGTCAACACTTCTTGTTTTTAATTGTGCTATATAAATAAACTGAAATTGAAATGAATGATAATATTTTTCCATCTCTTTCAGCTACCTTACTAAGTTATTGTGCTTATTTCCATCATAATATATTGATTACAGCATCTGTCCTGCATTGTTGTTCACACCTCTGACTACTGACCCTGTTATGACCATGTCTTTTGTTATGGCTGACTATGACAAAAAAGAAGAATAACAAGCTTTAGTTTTATATTATATATATATATATATATATATATATATATATATATATATATATATATATATATATATATATATATATTATATATGTATTTTCTGTAAGACATTACAAAAGCTCTCCAAGAGCTCAGAGATATAGACAAGGGGTGGCCGGTGGTGGCCAGTGCCATCCTGAAATGAAGCATGACCACATTTCTGGCCACGCTGGTTACAGAACGCGAGACAATCAGCCATCATCAGTCAGCCATCATCAACAAAGCATCAATAATGTTCATTATTTATGATGAAAATCTGCTACAGGGTGGTTACCAATCAGCTATGAGTCTAATGATGCTGCGTTTAATAATTATCTTGCAGTGGTGGGCTAATTTACTCAGTAAACAGATTGTGAATGTGCGCTGGGGTCCCTTCAGCAGTGCTGCTCTGTGAGCTGCATTATGAAGTGTGTAATTTAATGGTAAGATGAGTAACTATAACAATATAGTCAGCCATAATCATTTATCACTTCTTTGTACATGCATGTGTTGTAGGTTTCCTTATACAGTGCTGTCTGGCTAGCTTTCTAACCTGTAGTGCAACTGAAATTCCTAACTTGGCCTCTCTTTATGAAATGTTTTTTTTTTCTTCTCTGGAAAAAGTGATGCATTTAATTTACTTGATTCAAATACATCATTTCCTCATGAATGACTAAAATATGTTACATCACTTTACGTTTGGTAGTAGTTGTGCTGATGTAACATTTTGTTCATTAGAAAATGATTTACAGATTTATTTATTTGTTACAGAGAAGAAGTACATCAGCGCATATGCCATTTTAGTATAGTAACATTTATTTATTTATTTATTTATTTATTTATTTACTCTCTTCCTTCCTTCCTTACTTACTTATTTTCTTACCTGGCCAACTCATTGTAAAAGTTGTAGTTATGGCCCTGCAGGAGCCTCTTACGTCGCCGAACCCATCGACCCTTCATTAAAACTGAGCTGTAGTTCTCCTACCCGCAGACAGGGGCGGTGTGAGTCAGTGACGCCACGAAAGGTGAGCAGCACTCGCCTCGCCATTGAACGCCGGCTGGGAGATTTCTATCAGCAGAAGTGAGGCGAGTCTGCACTTTGCTCCGGTGTGGATGTGGAGGACTGCTTCTGGTTTTCACACAGCGCTTTTAGAGGCGAAGCAGTTAAGGTAAAGAACTTATTCAGATCAGTGGAGAGCGTGACGTGTACAAACTGAAACAGGTGCTCGGCACAGGTTCATCCAGCGCAACTTGAAAAGCTGGGTCACGTTGTTTTTTTTTTTTTTTCTTGTAACTAATGAGTCGTTCTACTAGAAAAGTAGCGTTGTATGGAGATTCAGTAGCCTGTTTTACTATTTGTGTCCTATAAAATTCCTGTAAAAGTTCTTTCAGGACTTCCCGGACGGGTAAGCTGCAGCTCAGACCACGTTAAACCTAAATAACACGGGAAAATCGCGAAAAAAACGCTCGCGAGCGCGTTAAACCATTGTCCTTTGTGCAGTGTGAGCCGGTATGTAAATACACTTCCAAGAACCGTTTAGAGCCGCGCACTGAATACTGAACACTGAATAGAAGCAGCTTCATTCCAGATGGTGGAAATGTCCCTCCCTCAGGTTTAAGAAGAGAAGGTCAGTTTATGCAGATGTCATTTTGAAGCCTAAAACGTACTACAACTTTAATGTACTATATATAAAATACTAAGAATTAGGTTATATGTTTTCTTGTACACTACCTGCTAGAAAAAGCAGTGTGGACAAGCATTGCTGCTCACCAGCATAACCACAATAATGTTTAGTTTTGGATGTTGGTATGCTGGTCAGCAGATATAAAAGCTGATAAGCTGATCACCACCAAAACCAGCATATGTTGTATTTTGACGCTGGTATCAACCAACATGACCATACCCCGATGACCAGTGTGAAATGCAGTATTAATAGGCAGTTTGTTCCCCTTTGCTCCAGTAACAGCCCCTAATCTACTGGGAAGGCTTCACACTAGATGGGACATCGCTGTAAAGATTTGATTGTATTCAACTACAAGAGCTTTAGCTAGGTCAAGTACTGATGCTGAATTATCACAGACACCACTCCAGCTTGTCCCTAAAGTGAGGCACTCCACCACTCCAGAGAACACAGTTCCACTGTTCTACAGTCCAATGCTGTGGGACTGTATACCGCTCTGGTGACCTATATACGATTTTCTGTGGAGATAAACAAGCTATGAGTGCACCTTATGCACAATGTCTGTGTAGTTCAGTCAGTTGAGATGTGAATGAAGTCCTTCTTATTGTTTTGAAGTAAAATGGTTTATTGTAGAGAACGTACTGACTTAAATTTCTTTGCAGGGGTGGTGATAGGAACCAGGGGTTGCCATGTCTACAGCACTATATCAGTATAGCTATAGCACTTTATTTACTTTTCAAAGCAACCAGTGACCCTATGTCTTCACAGGTTTCATTATGTAATGTAGATAGTGGTAAAATAGTGATAAATGAGAAAACATGCATTTTCTTTGGAAACTGTTCTGCCTTACTATGCTGTGCTTGTACATCTCTGGCTAAAATATGTGTAAAAACATATCATAAGACAATGTGTTAGTCATCATAGTGTATTTGAAACAATTTCATGTCATAACTGTCTGTGAGGGAGACTTTAGAGGCAGTAAATGCTTCAGACATCTGGTTCCTATCACCACCAGCTTAAAAAAATTCAGACCAAGTTTATCTACAGTGGAGCATTTCACATCAAACCACTCTGAATGACTTTGTTTACATCTTAACAACTGAATTATGTAGGAATTCCACTTTAAAGTGGAATTAAAGTTGCTTTCTCATTAACTGAGACCTAGCTTCAGAGAACTTTTTCATTTTTGATTTTTTTCAGATAATACCTTTATGTAATGGTGGAGCAGCCATGAAGAGGAGCAAGCAGTGGGATGTCAGAGGAGCTGTGGGCCTTGCAGGTGTCTTCCACTTCCTGCATTGTTGGGCTTCAGGATGCCTTCTGCCCTTCCTCACCCTCTACCTCCGGCACCTCGGCCTCACCGCTTCCATGACAGGCATCATCATGACCGCCAAGCACCTGGTGGCTCTGGTTTGGAGGCCTGTCTCCAGTGCCTTGGCCAGACGCCATAACAAAAGACGCGTGGTCATAATAGGGTCTGTCATCTGTTCGGCAATGGCTGCTATGATACTTCTGCTCTTCCCACCCACAGGAGTGAGCATGGAGAGTGGAAGCTGTAATGTAAGTCAGCTGAATGCTAACCATACAGTATATGAGTTTGACTCCACCACTCGGGAACCCCGGACAACTCCACAAACATTCTCTACACGTGTTGCCTATTCAGCAGAACCTAAGATGAGGTTTACAGAAGGACACCGTGCAATGGCAGTCAACCACAGTGCAAATTCCGTCACCAAAAGTGCCTCTGAAACACAGACAGTTGAAGCAGGTTCAGATGAAATTAGCAGCCAAGAAGCTCTGGAAACCAAAACTACTCAGGGCCACCCACCAAAGAGGAAGAGTAGGTCTTTAAGAAGGCGTGAAGAAAAGCAGGAGGAGACAGATATGGAGACGGCCAGATCTGAGTTCCTTGGAAGCTTGAAAGTCATGGATGCTCAACATCAGATGTTCTTCTTGGTGATGATTGTAGTAGGCATATGGGAGGTCATGGCTGCCCCATTGGAGTGGACAGCTGATGACGGACTGCATGAGTACCTTGATTTTGTGGATGCCACGGACCGCCATGGTACCGTTAAACCTTGGAGACATCTAGGGACTGCAGGTGGTATGGGAAGCACTGGCATTCTAGTAAGCATCCTATACTGTCTCATTGGAACTGTGCTGCACTTTTACGCCTATGCTATGTTCATGGTCATAATGGTGCCTGTTGCTGCTTTGTTACCACTTTACCGCCACAAACGTGAACGTCTACCTGGTAGTGGCTTGAAGGCCCTGCTGCTGGTGCGAGGCGATCCACGGGCAATGCTCTGTGCCATCACTGCCCTTGTTACTGGCATGGCAAGCTCAGCTATATCTGACTTTTTGCTGTGGCTGATGCAGGACCACAGTGCGTCAGAGCTTCAGATGGGCATTACTTTGGCTCTGGCACCTCTATGCCAGGCTGTCTTTGCCCCTTTGAATGGAAGCGTGGCCCGTTTCCTGAAATCCCATGGGCGGCTACTGCTTCTTGGCATTTTGGGTCTGTCTCTGCAATGCCTTTACTACTCTTTCTTATGGGCACCCTGGGCTGCACTTCCTGCTCAACTGCTGGCTGGACTTAGCACTAGCGCCCTCTGGTGGTCGATAGAGGCTCAGTGTGCAGATACTGCGTCTCCAGGGACAGAGAGGGCAGTGTTCCGAGTCTTTGAGGCCCTGTCTCTGGATCTTGGGGCTGGGCTTGGCAGCCTGTTGGGAGGGTTTGTGGTGCAGAAGTTTGGATTAGGGGTGCTCTTCCAGGGTACAGCGGTTATGCTTGCATTGTGGAGCATTACTTTAGCTGTGTTGCAGTGGAGGATCCCTCGTCAACGCAGGATAAACTACTCACGACTTCTGGCGGCTGACGCCAGTGAGGTGAGTGAGTCAGAATCTGACCAGGACAATGACTGGCTGGAGAAAGCCATGGAGGAAGACAAGGGGAACAACAATTGGAGGAGTTCTGAGAAATAAGCATTATAGCTGGTAAACATTCTTCCACAAAGAATTTTATGCTAGACACCAATGACCACCTACGTCTAGGCCTATGTAATGTGGAGGACTCAAAGTAAGACACTCCAATGGCTTCCAAATGGCTTATGGCTTCAAGAACATTACAAATGAAAGCTGCTGCAGCTGGATGCTGCATGAGCTGCAGTTTTGCTCAGCTGTCGGGATGCCAATGTATTTGTCTTTGACTACATGTTATTGGAAAACATGCTTTGTTTTGCAATTATCATAAGTAAATGCTTATCATAATCTCATTGTTTGGAAACATATTTCATTGGAAAAGACATGTCACACATTGGAAAACTGAAGACTCCTTCAGTGTATCATATCCCCACCACAGAATATTGGACCAAACAAGGCTCCTGTTAGAGAAATTAGAGGCTCATAGTAACCATATAAAGAACCAGTGCAGTGTTGATGTGACCTTAAAATGCCCAGCATTTAATAAAATGCCTCCTCACTTTGCATTCTGCAATTCAGAAGAGCACTGTGGTCATAAAGCACTGGTTTATGAGACGAATTGTATGTATGTTGTTCATTGTGTACTTAACTCAGTTACATAATAATAAATTTGCACTAATGCTTTGAGGTAATTGGGCTTAAGTGAGATGGACATAATCAAGTTAAGGCCTCAAAGCATTTGTATTGTTAAGATGTTTTTCCAGGCAACGAAGCCATTTGTTTATATTGGGGTGTGAGTATATGCGTTCCTATGTTTGCTCTGGATTATCACATGGCTTCAGTTACCATTTCAAACTACTTCCCTGAATGCAAGTGCAGTGTGGGCAACACTTCACGTTATCTTATCAGGTTTGTCAAACCTAACCTGTTTTATGCAGTGTTTGCGAAACCTGTACTGCAGTAAGTTTACCTACTTTAACTGTGAGTGTTACCTACCATTTTTGTTATTTCTTACAGCCGTCTCATTTACTTGAGCTGGATGACCTGAAAATAAGTTTGGCTGTTCTGACTCATAAAGTTAAATGAAGCAGATTTGAGATTAAGGGTAATGAAACATGCCTGGTGGACACTTTAAACAGCTCAGCAAAGACATGTAAATGACCCAGTGTTTACCAGACTAAGCAAGCTATGAGGAATCAGACTTATGGAGTAGATTTGGAAAGCCTTTTACATGTTGCAAAACTGTAAACTGTGACTATATGTGTTCATTGTGTGACCATTATTTGTCTAAAAAAAAAAAAACAAGATTAAATGTCTTTCAGTTGCTATTTCCAAAGACTTGTTGACTCGTTGTTTTATGAAGCATATCGTCACTGTCAAATCGAAACTTTGTAGTTTTTGTTTTAGGAACCAGCTGACATTTACATAACATGAACGTTTCATGACAAATGGACCGATAGATGTGGTCCAAAATGCTTGGAATAAAATGTCTTTACATTAGCATATGGTACTGTGCATAAGTCAGAGTCCCCCCTTCATTTATGTAATTTCCGGTCAAAGTGGCCATTAATTTTTCATAAGATGTATCAGCAGAAATTAGATGTAAAATAATCCACTTAAGTGAAAATAAGTGGAAAAACAGAAGTTTCCAAAAGACATGGAGAAAATGAGACCCGGTAGATCACCAAAAACTGGTGTTTCTGTCTATCCATCCACCATGAGAAGACAACTCAATGAGTCTAAAAGGACTCTGACTGTCAAGAAGCTGTTACTGAAAAAAGGAAATAGACAAAAAAGAAAACAAAGTGCAAATCAAAGAAGCTGCTGATGTTCTCAGGATAATGGACTGACCACCCAGAGTTCAGACCCAGCATTGAATGAATCATTGAATGTGTTTGGGATTACTTGGATCGTGAGAAACAGAAAATGGAACCAACTTCTAAGACTGAACTTTGGATATGTGAAGAAACATCCCTGTAGATTTCTTTGAAAAACTGAAAGCAAGTCTCCTAAAAAGAATGTAAGTTGTAATAAAGACAAAGAGTGGACACACAAAAGACTGAATATTTCATTATATTTACATTTAGCTGTGTATTTTTCGGTTAAATATCTGTTATGATATAAAGATCATGAATATATATGGATATAAGATCATTCACCAATATCTTCCCAAGTTTTTTCTTAAATGTGTTATTGAGAAAGGTCCTAAGAAAAAGTTTGCATCAGATTCATGACGTGTTCTTAAACCACAGAATTGTTCACACCTTTGTGCTCTTGAGTGTGTGTAGACTCTGTTCTTACCTAAGGACAAATCCCAAATAAGAAAACATTGGTGAATTTCAGAATCTTCATAGAAACTGCATAAGTGGGTTTTAAGAAGAAATTCCTTTCTAAGATCGGTTGGTGAATGACACCCAATGTATCCTTCACTTCACATATCTTAGTGTGTCCAGCTCTACTGATGTTTGTCTTATCAGCAAACAGTGCAGGGTCTGTTTGAATAGATTTTTTCCCCCTGTTTCCAGATTTATCCCTCTTATCTGATGTTATACGTGTTATTCAATATTTACCTGTCCATAATAATGATGGCACACGGTTGTGGGGTCTGCAAACAGGAAATGTTGAGTCAATACTATATCATGGCGTGATGTAAGAACTCAAAGGTCACTGGCAAAGGCTGGCAGTGCCAGTATACTTGAGTGATAGGGGCCTATCAGCAGGTACAAACACTGCGACAATGTTTAATCTGAGGAGTACTGGGCCCTAGATGTTTCCAACCACCCATGAACCATATTTACCCACTCACACACAGTAAGTTTACTCAGGTACCAAGTTGTCTGTCCTGTTCACTCACACTGTTGTTGATGTTCTTATTTCTTATTACAGTATTTCAAGTAAATGGATCCCAATCACCAAGAACACTGTTAGCTTATGTTCAGACAAATCACTGAAATACAGATGTTATCTTCTAAGTCAACGTTGGTGTCAGTCTTTGACTATGAACATGCCAAAAAGAAGCTTTATAGACAGACAGGTTTGGGACAGTGAGGTGAATATTAAACTTTCAGTAACAACCACAGCCAGAAACTCATTAGTTTTGTTATATACACAGTGTCAGAGTGGTAATAGTTTTTTAAATGAGGTTTTACAGTGTGTGTAGATGAATTGGTTGCACCAGTGAGGAAAATTTCTTTTATCCTTTCTAAATACATTTATACATTTAGGTCAAATGACATGTCTTGTTGATTTTCTAAGTGAAGATAAGTTAACACATCCTCCACAGAGAACACACTTTACACATTTTGATGCACAATTACTGTTTATTTGCAAAATTTTACATATTGGAAAAAAATAAAACATAAAATGTGCAAAAGTTAGCTGGGATAGGCTCCAGCACCCCACCGCGACCCAGAAGGATAAGCGGTTTAGATGATGTATGTATGTATGTATGTGCAAAAGTTAATAGCAAATTTATTTTATTTATATATTTTTTGATATGTTAAATTCAGCAAATAAATAGAAATTGTGCAGTAAGAATTTGGTGGAAATTGTCATTTTTAAATATGTTAAATATGAAGAGGATGTGTTAACTTATTTCATGTTAACAAATTTAAATTTGCATAAAGTCATTAGATGAAGTAGACATTACATCAATGTTACGAAATTTTTGCAAACGTAAATTAAGATGTGTAGAGTTATTTGTTCTGAATTGTTAGAGAAACTAAGCAAGTCAGAATATGGCTGTATTTGTGTTGTAGACATTGTGACCACTGGTTCCTATCACCACTACTGTAAAGAAAACTCTACAGTGAACCATTTCATATTAAACCACTTTGAATTGCTTTGTTTACATCTCGCAGATTGAATTATGCAGACATTTTGGTGGAATTAATCTTTAAGAGGAAGAATTTCTGTTTTCCATTAAGACATAATTTACCAGTTATCTAAAAGCAGTTTCAACAGATTTATTCAAAGGCTTTGTTTTTGCTTTTGCCTGCCTCTGATCCAGGCATGCAGAGGGAGGGGTAGCGAATAAGCTCTGTTATGACAACCCTGAATCACAGGTCCACAGATCAAGTTATGAAACTGCTGTCTTGTTGGATTCTATGGCTTCTGTGAATGGAACTGAAGTATTATCATCCTGGACTAGTTATGGAGGAGATGTGTGGCATCAGTTTACTGCCACCCTCTGGTAAAACGAAATACTTCTTCTCGATCAGGTCAGACAAATGTGAAAACGTGATTATGTGCTGTTTCATGTAGCACATTGTTCCTGCGTGTTTCTTGTAAAAGTGTTTTTTGTACACTTCACAATTGCAATTTGTGCGACTTTTTATCATGTTGATTTGCTTAGTGAAAAAGAAGTACACATCCTCCGCACATTTAAATGCAGTTACTGTTTATTTGCTTAATTTAACATATTGGGGAAAAACCATGAAAAGTTGTGTCCTGTGCAAAAATTATGCAGCATTTTATATTTTAGATTTAAGTATATTTCTTATATATTGAATGTAGCAAATAAATAAAAATATTGCACTATTTTTTTTATAAAATTACATATTGGCTCTTTGATGTGGATGTGTTAACTAACTTTCACTTATGAACAGAAAATCAAAACAAGACTTGACCAGGGAACACTCTTAAAAAGCTATTATGGAACCATGAGCACTCACAGAACCATTTGCATACCTAAAGGGTTCTTTGCATAATGTAATCGTGCTTCAGACTGAAGAAGAATGTGTTGTATATGGTTCTATAAAGAACCCAATTGAAAGTGGTTCTATGTAGCACCAAAAAGGGTTCTGCTATTGTGATCATGTCGAGCTCGTGACTGTAGAAGAACTCTTTTTGGTAATATGAAGAACACTTATATAGAACCCCAACCAAAAGCACTTATCAATACCTTTGCATATAATGGTACCCATTCGGCAACACCCTAGCAACCACCTGGGAAATGCTTAAGCTGTGCAATTATTTTCTTCAGGAAATGCACTTTTGTAGTTTATATCATCATCACAACAGATGTTATCTCAGTAAAGCAATCTCCGTAATGTAGTGATAATGACATAAAAATTAATGAGATTTTGAGAAAACTATGAAAATAACTTAATGGCCATATTTGCATTTTTTACTCCCTTTTTGCTATGAGAATGCGTTATTCTCATTTGTTTTCTTAAGATCTCATGATATGTATGCTGTTATGATGCCAAAAAAACAAGGTTTTCTCGAGATCTCAAGTTTTTTAAACGTAACACAATTTATATAAAAAAAAAACATTCATGTGAATCTGTGCTTTAGGGCTTCCAGACACAACTGATTCAACTGAATATCAAACATTTAAAAAAAAATAAATGTAACTCTGATACATTTGCCTTATAGCAAGAGGATAATGGGCCACTGCTGGCCAACTGATAGCAAAGCTGGTGGTCCACTGGCATTTTGCTCAGCGTTTTCTGGGTGGCCTACCAGTGTTTAAGCAGTGTGTTAGACAAAATTCCACTTATCACTGCTCATTTTACACTCACTGTCCAATTTACTGATTTTTCCTTCCCCCGTTTTTTAGTTATACTTTGTAAATTATTTTAGTAAATAATTTTAATATAGCTCAGTGTCAGCAACATCTGTAAAATCATTTTACATTAGGCCTAGTCATTATTTTTTCTCTCTGAGTTGTTTGTAATATTTGTCTTAGTTTTTTCTAAAATAAAAGTCTGTGCATTTAAATCTGTTTGGGGAGATTAAAAACTAGGTAGAGCTTGTTTAATCTGGGTGGTCCGAGGGTGGACCAGCAGTGGCAAACAGTCAGTGGGGTGTCGACCTTATCAAGCCAACGGACTGATATATGCTCGCTGGGTTTTCTGTTTTTGTGACAGCCAAGTTACACATCAAGTGGTTCAGTGATGCTGTTATCAACTGACTCTTACGAGGCGCAGTCAGCGCTGCCACTGTTGGATGCATTCTCCATGTTACTCACCAGGTGGCGCTTTCAGACGATTAGAGCCCATTCATCAGTTGCAGTTTACGCCTGCTCTCTCTCTCTCTCTCTCTCTCTCTCTCTCTCTCTCTCTCTCTCTCTCTCTCTCTCTCTCTCTCATATTCCCTTAAGCACAGCGAGTGTGCAGATACAGATGCTCCGATCTTCCTGTGGACAGTCAGAGTAATGCATGAACGCGATTCCTAGAGCAACGGTTTGCTTACAGTGAAAGAGATAACCAAGCGGTCACGCTCTGGTCAGTTGGCGATCTGAGGAACAGCGCTGATCAGAATGGAGAAGGAGCGAAAATGTGTGAAACAGTACGGGTCTGTGGAGAGAGCGGAGCCAGCTAAGGACGCAGCCAGAACAGGTAAGCAGGTGAAGTAACAGTGCAGCTCAAGTTGACGGTAATATCCATTAATAGCTTTGAGCTCGTAGACAGACGCACAGGGACAGACACAGCATCACAGTGAAGACTGTTCTACTGACTTAACTGTCCATATCTTTTGGTCCACATGTTCTCTGAGCTTTCCTGAGCACATTTTTCAAATGGATATTGTTAATAAAAAGCAACTTATCACTTAATTTATCAGATCAAATTCAGTCTTTTGGTCATGTGGGACCACTTCTTGGCAAATCTGCAGTTTCCATTGTGAATCAATCAAAATATTTGAGTAAAGTCTTTGGGTCCATATGTGCTCTAAGCTTCCTGGAGCACATTTTTCAAATGGATGGACTAAAAAGTAAGTTTTTATAAACATAAAAGAATAGAAACTCAAAGTTTGCTTGTGAATAAAATCATAATTATGTGTAATCAAAAATGAAACTGGGTATTATTAAATGTTCATCCAAATCATAACAATACAAAAGTACAAAAATACAAAAAAAGTGTTTTTTTTTTTTTTATCATGCCAAATTTAGTTTGACATTAATGGGTTAATTGCACCCAGTAGGCAAGCATGCTCATATCCTGTGTAAAAGGTAATGCAAGTCAAATTGATTGCTGTTTATTATAATGGCTGTGGCTGTTTTTAAACAATGAACGTCAATCATATTTGCAGCCCTTTCATTAATACTTCAGGATGGTCATCTCAAACTCTTTAGTCATTTCTGTCTCTATGTAGATTCTTGAGTCCAATTAAAGTGGCAAAGCACTGTAAGTAAAGGTCACCCTTTTCCAAAAACATTGCTCCAAACTGGAAGTCGCTCTGGAAACGAGCGTCTGCTTAATGAATGAATGTAAATGTTAACAGTGAATGTGCATAGCAAAGCAGCCAGAAGCAAACCACCATGAAAAGGCTTATACATTTGCTTCATAAAGCAGCCCTATAGAAAATTTTAATGAAGTCCAAATCAAAGCGGCACACTGTAGCCTATTAGACTGGCCACTGGTCCGTGCTATTTGGACATTACCCATACAGACAGATGATATCAGGTTGAACGGAGTTGTAAATAGTTTGTTCTCCATCTGAGTGGCTGTCAGTGAGGATGACAGTGTGGATAAAGTGTTTACACAGAGGGTGTGTGGTTCAGTTCATTTAAGACAGCCAGATGTGGGCTAATTACTAGAGGATTAGTGCTAAGCCACCCATGATCTTTAGTCCAGGCTGGACATTGGGCCTCCCGTCTCTGGTTTACGTGAGTGAATTTGATAATGTCAGCGGCTAGTGCTGGACATCACTGATAAAAATGTACTATCACAATATCTTTCATATATATATATATATATATATATATATATATAAATATATATGAAAGATAGGCTGGGATAGGCTCTAGCACCCCCCCACGACCCAGAAGGATATTAGATGATGTGTGTGTTTGTGTGTGTGTGTGATTCAATTCAAGGCATGAATATTGAATATTATTGCTTGTAACCACAATAAGTAATTATTTGGCTGACCTGTCCAGAATACTAGTATTTTATGAGCATTATACACTGACTGGTCACTTTATCAAGTACACCTTTCTTATGTACAATCATTGTCCATTTCATCAGCTCCACTAACCATATAGGTGCACTTTGTAGTTCTACGATTACAGACTGTAGTCCATCTGTTTCTCTGCATACTTTGTTAGTCCCCTTTCACTCTGTTCTTCAATGGTCAGGACCCCCAAAGGACCACTACTGAGCAGGTACTATTTGGGTGGTGGATCATTTTCAGCACTGCAGTAACACTGACGTGGTGGTGGTGTGTTAGTGTGTGTTGTGCTGGTCTGAGTGGATCAGCCACAGTAGTGCTACTGGAGTTTTTAAACACCTCAGTGTCACTGCAGGACTGAGAATAGTCCACCAACCAAAAATATCCAGCCATCAGTGTCCTGTGGGCAGCATTCTGTGACCACTGATGAAGGACTAGAGGATGACTAACACAAATTGTGCGGCAATAGATGAGCTACTGTTTCTGACTGCATCTACAAGGTGGACTAAGAAGCTAGGTATGTCTAATAGAGTGGACAGTGAGTGGACACAGTGTTTAAAAAGTCCATCAGCACTGCTGTGTCTGATCCACTCATACCAGCACAACACACATTAACACACCACCACCACATGAGTGTCACTGCAGTGCTGAGAATGATCCACCACTCAAATAGTACCTGCTCTGTGGTGGTCCTATGGGGATCCTGACCACTGAAGAACAGAGTGAAAAGGGGCCTATCAAAACATGCAGAAAAACAGACGGACTGCACCTGTACGGTAAGTGGAGCTGATAAAATGGACAGTGATCATATATACAAGGAGAGTTTTAATACTAATTTTCAATTAAATATATTATTAAAAATACAACTGAAAACTGAAAAGGAGCATCACCATCACTTATTTAATTTAGCGACAGTTTTGGTGGTCTGCTAGGTCTTGCATGGATGTTAGGGGTCTAATTTCTCTCCTTATTTTAATCAATTTTGAAATCCATCTCATTTTATTTTGACTTTCTCTTTTCTTATGCAAGTGGATTATCTTATTTCTGGTCTATATCTCCTAAATATAACAATTAACTTGCACTTAATGGTCAGTTTGACTGGAAATAAAATAAATGAAGGGTGGTCTCTGACTTTTGCATAGTTCTGTATATTATTCACATTAATTACTCTGAATCTATTGTTCGCCTATTGTAATTTAGTCTGCCCTGAGAGAGAAATTCTGTTTTCTAGACAATGTTGTTAGCCTACCCAACCCCTGACACACCAGTTTGCTGCAGAGTGACGCCCCCTCACTCGAACAAACTGATGTGCTTCTTTTGATTAGTTGGTCCTAAGTGAGTCACGCATGGATGAACTCAACAGCATGAAGTAGACATGAAAGGCATGATACACATTTTCACCACACATATACTCTTTATGCCCTTCTGATGCAGCTCCTCGCATCTTGTTGTTTGCTGGCTAACGAGCCGTTGCATGCAAGCTGGAAGCTTGTGCCCTCCGCATGGTGTGCACACATTAACTGTGAATTGCATGAGGAGTCTGAGGGCAAAGGAGACTGAAATAGAGAGAAATACATAGGCTAGGGGTCAAAAATATTAACGAAAATGATTACAAGCCCTACGTTGTGACAAAAAGAAAAGCCTCCTGGGAGCCGAGCTATTAAAATTGGCTAGGCTAATTAGCCTGTTACTTGTAGAAGTAATCACTCTTCAGAATAGCTGTTTTCTCAGGAAAGAAACTGCATGAAATTCCCAAAGGGCTGATACAATTTTCTTGTATTTTATGTTTCATTGAGTTCAACTTATAATGTTTGTGTGTTTTTATGTACCATCATTCACATTTAAATGACTATTTACCGACCTCATTTTACCCTTTACAATGAAACAGGCTATCGTCTGGAGTTCAATCCCCAGCAATGCCACAGCCATCTGTGGCCAGAAGTCCAAGAGAGCATTATTGGTCTCACTATCTTAGGGTGGGTAGGCTCAGTAGGGCACTCAGGCGTATATGCATGTATACGCCGTACACTGACTTTTTTAACTGTGCTGTTTCCATATACTGACCTCTAATGCCCACTTACTACATATCAGGGAGAAGAAAAACATCACGCGTGAGTGTCATGATTGGTCAATTCCATGATGAATGAACTATTTTGATTGGTTCATTTTTATCCATTTCTATGGATACCACCACAGGATAATACTGTGTTCGAGTCTCCTGCTGATATGATTAGATGTAAAAGTAGACAAATTGTGATTTAAAATTTCTGTGAATGTAGATTCTTATCAATATTCGCGTGATGTTCTAGACTGGCGTACTAGTAGCACAACATGTTAACTAACCTTAAGTAAGGTTTGCTAACGTCAGCTCTGTGAAAACAGCACCACTTTTTACACAGTTTTTACATTATGTCCATCCAGAAATGGATAGAAGAGAGAGGGAAAAACAGAGAAGTTGTTTATTTGAGCTCTTTGATCTCTGTCTCAGCAATGCAAACCCACACAACAGCAATTAAAATATATATCTCTATCTATATATACAACCCCAATTCCAAAAAAGTTGGGGCGCTGTGTAGAATGTAAATAAAAACAGATGGCAATGATTTTCAAATCTCATAGACCCATATTTTAGTCACAGTAGAACATAGAACACATTTTCATTTCATGAAAAATATTAACTTATTTAGAATTTGATGGCAGCAACGCATCTCAAAAAAAAAAACAAAAGGCTGGAAAAATAAGTGGTACTAATAAAAAACAGCTGGAGGAGAAATTTGCAACTAACTGACATGACTGGGTATAAAAGGAACATTTTAGAGAGACAGAGTGGGCAGAGGTTCACCAATCCATGTCTAAAAATTATGAATTTCAGAAAAATGTTCCTCAACATAAAATTGCAAAGACTTTGGATCCCACCATCTACAGTACATAACATCATTAAAAGATTCAGAGAATCTGGTTAAATCCCTGTATGCAAGGGACAGGCTATTGGATGCACGTGATCTTTGGGCCCTCAGGCGGCACTGCATTAAAAACAGGCATGATTCTGTACTGGAAATCACTGCATGGGCTTAGGAACTGTATCATGCAAAGAAGAAGAAATATGTCAACTTGATCCAGAAACACCGCCGTCTTCTCTGGGCCAAAACTAATTTACAATGGACTGAGGCAAAATGGAAAACTGTTCTGTGGTCAGATGAATCAAAATTTGAAATTCTTTTTAGAAACCATAGACGCCATGTCCTACAGACTCAAGAGGAGAGGGATCATTCAGCTTGTTATCAGTGAACAGTTCAAAAGCCTGCATCTCTGATGATATGGGGATGCATTAGTGCCTATGGTGTGGGCAGCTTACACATCTGGAAAGGCACTATCAATGCTGAACAGTATATAAAGGTTTTAGATCAACATATGCTCCCATCCAGACAGCGTCTCTTTCAGGGAAGGC